TGGAATCCAAAGATAAATTAACTTAAAATTATACAATTCAAATTTCAAACAAAAGTAAAAATGTGAAAGTTAACCTGATGAGACATGATTGACTCGATGGGTCTAAAGACAATCTAGACGACTAGTGAAAATACTGTTTGACCCAGAAAAAAATCAAGATTACATATTTAAAAAAAAATATTAACACAGAAATATATTGAATTGACCTGGGTTATGAGACCATAAAACGACTTAAGTCTATTCTAGTTAACATGCAAAACTCATTATTAGGGTCATGGGATTGAGATACTTTTATAAAAATAAATCGAAACAAATGAAAAATCCTAATTCATAATCAACCAAATGTTGAAAATATTGAATGATAAAACTGGAAAAAAAATCAGTTAAAAAATAGACAAAAAAACTTAAGTTAACCAAGTTAACCAGTCAAACCTGTGACATGGGTTATGAGACTAGGATAACTACAAAAAAGCAAACCACAATAAATTATAAAGTTCAATATTCAATAAACTAAGTGTTGATAAATTATAAAGTTCAATATTCAATAAACCAAGTGTTAAAAGATGAAATTTTAAAAAAAATATAGACTTTAAATTTTTTTTAAAAACACTATTTGGCTAGAATAGAATAGCCAAAATAAAATCAAAATGTTTTGGGTAAAATTTAGGAGGAATTTCTGAAATGGGCAGAGACTTTGAGTGGGATGAAACTTATTCCAATTTGTTTTGTTTCTTAAACTAGAATAAGATATATCGGTCATTCCAAATAGAATAAAACAACATTAACAACCTTGTTTTAAACTAGTTATTTGCACACATTACACAACGCGAGTTGGGATTAATTTTTCTTAGGAAGACTAAAAAATATATAGGCATTGACCATTCATTTTACACCATTAAAAAAATTTAATTGAGAGCAAAAAAGATGATGCATATGTTTGACAAAATAAATTAAAAATCATATACATTAATAAATGTTAGAAGCATTGTGGTGCTAACCAAATATTGAACTGGTAAAATAAGATAAAAATGCATGTCAATATACTTAATTGCGACATGTAAGGAGCACTGATTTTTTTTAATTATACAAAACTAAATTTATTTTCTATAAGAAAACCTATTATTTCAACTCTTTTGAAAACAAAAAAAATAAAGAGAAAAAAACAAGAATAAAATCCAAAAATAAAAATTAAATTGATTGATATCTAATAAAATAATATCTAAAACATAATTTTCTAGTTCAATTATTATTAACTTAGATCAAATTTGAAGGGAAAAAAACAATTACAAAGGGCTATACAAAAAAAATGCCTTATAATATTTAAAAAATCATAATCTCATTTGACAACAAAAAAAACTACATCCAAATAGCATTTAATGGAATAATTTTTTTAAAAAAATATTTTTATTTATTGTTTTTAAATGAAGTAAAAAAAACCCTTTAAAAAAAAGTCCAAGAGTCCAAGCCTAATAGGGCTGCCGCTGGCCCAAAATCAAGGACAAATCCATAATCATGACACATTTAATTTTTGTTTTGCTTAGCTAGGAGGACGATAACTAAATAAACCTATATATGGACTCGAATTAGCAAAAAGTCAGTTTAAAAACTAACAATCAACCCCAAATCTAAAAAATTTTATGAGCAAACTAACAATCAACCCCAAATCTAAAAAAAATTATTAGTCTAAATCTATCATCTCAAACAAGATTAAGGTCAAACAACACCCTATTAGAACTCTTATCAAAGAATGAACTATGTTGACATCAAGATTAGTAATTTTAGTGGCGGAAACTGGTGTTAACTAATGATTTTACTTTTTTTCAATTAAAATCTAACTCTCTCTCTTCTCTCCCGAACTAAATGATAAAAAAATAAAGTTTTAGATTAAAATGAGTTTTTGTTTAACTAAAGGGACTAGAAATATTTTCATTGGAAAGTATAAGGAACAAACATAACTTTTCACATCAATTTTGAAAGCAACACTTATTTTTCTTATCCTTTTCACTTTGATCCATTATCTTTGAATCGTATCATTCCTTAATAAATTGGAAGCAATTGACTACTAATTTTGCCATCTAACAATAAAATCGAGGAGAAAAAAACTTTGGTAATTAAAATAAAAAAAAAAAGCACAACTTCAATCCATAATGAATTATAAAACAATATATAATGATCTTTGCTACAATAAAAACACCTTGCTTTAGTTTTTTACGTAATCTTTCAAGTTGATCCGTTAATCTTCAAATTTAATTGATTTAAAATAATATTTTTTTATATTCCATTTTGAAGTGGTACAATACATAACTTAGTATTTGCATACATGAAAAACATAAATTGGTGGCTCTCTTTAATTCTTTTCCAAGATAGTTGCAACTTATCTTGGTAAAAGGATCAAGAATTTTTTTTTTTTTAAAAAGGATATTTTCAGTTAACTCTGCTTCATTGCTTGTAGATGTGATAATTTTAGCGAGAAGAGGTAAAAGTGAATAAGAAGAATAACAAATATAAATGAGCCAAGAAAATGAAAATAAGTTTCAATTTCCTTTAATTGAGCTCCAATAAACTAACAAATCACTCACAGACTATTAATTTCCTCCCCATATGACCAAAAGTGACATACTAAATGCTCCTAGAAAAAGGGTAAGGTATGCTCCAAGTTGGAGCCAAAAACTATATAGCATATTAGAATTTATGAAGTCAGCTGCAAGAAGGTCAACAAGGGCCATATATATTAAGATCCCAGCAGACGCTGAATTAAGAATGCCTTGAATAATCAATGCCATTGGACTGGCTTCATTATAACTTGTTGATATCCATATGCCAATAGCAATGCCAGTCGGGGTGGTAAGGGAGAAGAACAGAATCATAATGACCTTTGCTTGAAGCTTGAATTTTGCCTTCACAATTAAATAAAGGAAATTTTAAAATATTCAATATTAAAGATGAACAAAAACTTCATATACTTGTTCATGTTCACAATTTATTTCATAATTTAATCTTGGATCTTGGGCTGTGAGATATTTAATAATTCTATTTATAACTTATTATTATTTTATTTTTTTGCATGGAAAAGTATGCTAGCCAGAAATACTTATAAAGTAGTATCTTTTTTTATTATATAGGTGTTACAAGAGCAAGAATAGGACATTCATTGATGCACATCTAAAAATTGATTTTTTATCAAGTATATTGTTACCTGAGAAATGCATCCACCAAGTCCCACACCCTCGAAAAATTGATGAAAACTCAAAGCTGCCACCAAAGGTTTGATTGTTTTTGAACTCTTAGAAGCACCTAGGGATAATCCAATGATCACAGAATGAACCAAAATTCCAAGTTCCAAGACCTGTAGAATGTGTTGTCAAACATTAGGTGTCACAGAAAAAGACAAACAATCAATCTACTGCTATTTGATTGAAATAGAACATGTAGCTTAAGATAATAATACTTTTATAGCATGTTTTTTTTTTATCATAATGTTAATTTAAAAAAAAATTAAAAATATATTAAAATAATATTATTATTATTTAAGTTTATTTTTGATATCAGCACATCAAAATGATCTAAGAACATAAAAATAAATTAATTTGAAATAATTTTTTTTTACAAAAACAAGGCCTTACAAAATAGCTTTACATGCCAAAATTTGTTGAACAATAACAAAGTTATACAAAAGTTTAGAAAAAATACACAGTTTTCAAAAATATTTGGAAAATAACATAGTTTTAACAAAGACATGATTACCAATCATGTTTTTGTTCAAACATGTGATCACCAATTGAATCTTTATTTAAAGAAGCGATAATAAATTATAGTTACATAATACAACTATTTTTCATAATCACATGTTTTATAAGTACAAAAACCTAGCTTCTTTTTCTTCTAGCAACTGCCATAAAAAAAACCTAAAAAGCCAACTATTCTTCCACCTATATAGCTAAAAATAGCCACCAATCCTCCACCAAAACACTATAGTCTTCTTTCTCTTTTCCCTACACATCATTGTAGTGTTTTTTCAACAAAACCAATCATTTCAATCACCTCTTTTAGTCTCGTTGTCGTGACCACCACTTAGCTATCGACAACTCAAGGTAAAAACACTAAACTTCTCTTACTTTTATGGGTACCATTGTTAAATTGTTAGATTTTTAGTTTTAATTTATTATTTATTATTTTTTAGGGTTGTGTTTGATAAGTTGGAATTTTGTTTAAATGATGTAATATAGGATTTAAATAAAGCAATTAGGAGTGTTTTTATGTAATTCATGTTATTTGTGGAATCAATTAAGCTAAAATTAGAAAAATTAGGGTCTATGTTGAATTCTATGATAAAATACCGTAACTAGGTATTATATTTGAATTGCAATAATGATTAGTACTTAAAAGTGCATTTTTATCATGGTTTTATATCATCATTTTACACTTGAAGTATCAATAACTCCTTAACT